ATCAAATTGAGTGTGTTTTACGTTAGCAGCTGTGGCACACACATATAACGCGTGAAGAAAAGCATAATAAGTCGAAAGCTAAAAATTCTGCCGCTAGTGCTGCTCTGAACATTAGAGACTAAAATTAATGAATCACGAAAATATCAAATGAACGCTTTTGTTATTATTGTAAAATTGCATTTTTAGAAATTATTAAATGTTGCTGTGACGGATTGTACAAATATAATTAGTGACAAACAAACGAACTGTCTGTTGTTAAACCACAAGGAAAATAATTTTTTAAACAAAAGGTACGGTAAGCTCTCATATTTTATTATAATAATTATCAAAATTATAAGAGTTTTTAAAAAATTTGTCTATTTTTTAGAACTTTCCCAAAAAAAATTTGACAAAAGTGCTTATCGGTTTAAGTTTCAGTCAGTCCGTTCGTGTCCTCGTTCGTCAGTCTGTGTATCAGTTTACAAAATTTCGACACATTTTGAGATAGAAGCCTGAAATTTTATATTTATTTATTTTATTTATTTGATTGAATTAGTGAAAGTAATTTAAATAATGAAATAGGTTGTTTTTAATAGCACTTGTGGATACAAAAAGCGCTTCTTTGCGAACCATGGGTTTGGGCCAACTTTATTAAAATATTCTAACACCAGATTGTCATTTTAAAAATTGTCATTATAAATAAATAATAAAATTCAAAAAAACTATCCTGCCGATATTTTCACGTAATATAAGGTAAAGAAGACTACATTTATTTTGTAAAATAAGAAAAATAATTTGATTTTTAATTAGTTTTTTAATTAATTTTAAACTGATTCTATTTTTTTTGCATAGCATGACAAGTTTTTATTACAGATTTCTTGTAATTTAATCTTTAATTTTATGAAAACATTTTTCTCTGGAATTTAAATCTCGGTTCTTTTCTGAAATTTTATAAAATCTTTTCAGAAATTTTTTTGTTTTGATCCACGTAATAGTTAAAATGGATGTCAAACACCATTGTCATCCATGGTAGTAGTATTTAAAATGTGAAATTATTTTTTAAAACATTGGAATTAAATTTTTTTGAACACCAAATAATTGATGAGCCCTTATTAACACAAACTTGTATGCTTTTACAAAAAATTTTCATAAAAATTTTGTCTACTAATTCAATGTTAAATTAGATGCAAATTACTTTAAAAATATGGCGAAATTTTCTGTAAAAGTTTAAAAAAACAAAAAAGTGAAAATGTTTTTATCCACTCTGAATGGAAAATTTATTTAAATTATAAATTTTACTGAGTGCTCTAAAAAATCATCACAAAAAAAAATAAGGCTAATTTTGTAATTTGTAAAAGAAGGACTAACAAGGGGAACAGTTTTACAACAGCAGACAAAATATAAGAGTGAAAGAAAGGTAAAAACGGAAAAGAGGAGATGAAAAACTTAAAAAAACTGATAAAAAAGCAATGAAAGCAATGAAAAATATTCTGAGACTTCAAGTTTTTTTTTTCTTGTTGATTCAAGTGATTCAGTTACAATATTTTTTTTTTTTAATTCAGAAGTACGGATAATATTCAAAAATTTAAGCATTGAAAATTTTATAGTTTTAAAGAGAATAAAAAATATCGAAATTTTTATAGTTTTCTCTTTTAACGAAGAGGCTACCCACTTTAACTTTGATTTAAATAATATAAAATTTGATTTAAATGAAAGGGAAACTGCGGTCCCCTTATCCAATTAAATTTGAGATTTTTTTAGAAAATTTTAATTTTGGGTTTTAAAAAATTTTAATTCAACAATATTGTTGAAAAACTTTTTATATAAAAAAATAATATTTTGAAAATCTAGGTGAATGATAAGGTGGCCCTCTCTCTTGTGATTCATTAATTAACTTTTGATACAACATATTTTCTGTATATACCTATCTTTTCCTTCAAATCTGATATTGCAAATACATAACTTTGGACGTCTACGCAAATGTAAATCTAACGTCAATTTGACTTATACATAGCCATACAATTTTAATTGCTGAACATAATAATTTCAATAGATGCGAAATACCATTGTCATCCATGGTATGAACTTAGATACATATGCATTTTGGTAGACGAACTTTGTGTGATCCCAGAATAGTAGTATGTACAGTGTTTACAAATTTCAATTAATGTGCTTATTTCTAACATTTCTAAAAAAATGGAAAAAGTTGACTGGCTCTTAATTAACGTCATAATATAAAATTTCAAAATACTCAAATTATTCTAAATTATTATCCGAAAGATGTTTAAAATTTCGAAAGAGGATCGTTAAAAATTTTTCATTCAATTGAAAATGCCCTTGAATAACATGAAATTAGAAACATTTATATTTCCATAAGTATTAAGTTACTCATTTCAAACTTTAGTACAAAGCAATTAGTATACAAAGTATTTTGAGCATTCAAATGAATTTATTAAAAAACTTTAAGATTTAAGAAATTTAAGAACTTTTAATTAATAATTTCAGTGGGGAATAAAATATGAATGAAGATTTTTATTGTGAATGTTGTTATTTTTAAACAAAAACGTACTCTGTACTTCCTCAATAAAATATATTTTATGCTTTCAATTTATAAGATAAAAGAGGCTACTGCTGGAAGTACAATTACAAAAAATTATTCAAATTATTTCAAATGGTAGATAAAACAAAAAAAAAACTTGGAATGTAATAATCTTAAATTTCCTTAATTAACTAAAAAATTTTTATTGAAATTCTTTGTTAACGATTTATCTCTAGATAAAACAAATAATGTTTTGTGTATCCTTAAAATTTATTGTTGCCGAAATGTGAAAAAAAGGAACACAAAACAAAAACGTGATACTTTTTATTTAGACGTTTTTTTTGTCATTTCATATATCGTTTTTTTTTTTGGGATGAAAGAGCAAGAAAGAAAGAAGAAAAATATATTATTTGTTTTATTAAAACCATTGTTGGTATGTATGAATGTTTGTGTAGTTGCTATTTAGTGTTGTATGTACTTGCAAGTATACTAATAATAGAGCTATTTCTGCTATAATATTCTTATATAATACAAAAATATAAAAAAAAAAACGAGAATAGGTAGAGTTGACCGTGCTAACTTTGTGATACCTGTACGAATTTACTATCCAATGGCTGAATAACTGTTGAAGTTGTATGGCAAAGAAATTTCAAGAACAGTTATCACACATAACAAGTGTGATAAATGTTGTTGCATCCCAATAATTTCTGAGTCCAATAATTCCCAATAATTAAATAGTGATATGATCGAATCACTGTTTTGATTACATCCATTTAAATTGGATGGTTCCGGCATTTACAATTATAAATCATATATGGAAATTTGGTGAGATTAGCACAATTATTTTTTGTCTTATCGTTGAGAGACGGACGGACAGACAGGGTTAAATCGATTCACAAAACGACGCTAAGTCAAAAAAATACACCTTTGTGTACATCTCGGCAATGGCAACAAAAATTTATAATACCCTACGAACATACTTCCGTACTGATTTAAATACTATGCAAGTGTTTATTTTTCAGTTCCTTTTTGATTGATGAAAATAATGTTATATATATAATTCAAATATGTAGAAAATTTTGGGTCTACGTACTTTGTTATAAATTTTTACGATAGAATATTTGTTTCGCTAATTAAATTTTATCATGTATATATGTAGGAGGATAGAAAGGATTTTCTATTAATTTATAATTTAAGTTTTTGTCATTTCGTTAACTTTAAATTTCAGTCAGATTTAGTTCAACAATGAACCAGGACTTTTCGTATTTCATTAAGTTCATATGACGATATTTATGTAGATAACATGTGTGCTTACTTTCTTTATAAAAAATTACAAGAGGATTAAAAATCTAGTCAATTACAGTCGACATACTGGAAAAGTTTTGTTAATTTATAAATTTTAATTTAGTTTGCTTGAAGTATTTAAAGCCGTAAAGTAACGTAAACATAATTGAAATATTAAGTTAGAGAGTTGTTTGCATGTAATTAGATAAAGCTTTATTTCAACTTACTACAATATTTATACGATGGTAATACTTGCATTACTATTTGTAAGTTTGATATTTTAAGAAGTAAAGAATTAATTTAATTTAAATATGAAATGTGTGTATTTTTAAATTTAGGAAATTATTAAATGTGATATTATATTAAAGAAGCCTCATTTAAGAGCTTCCAGGTGCTCCCGTAAGACATTTGCTAAATTTCATTAAGAAGATTGGAATGGTTTTAGCGAGGAGAAATATATTACGGTTAGCATTACCAATGAATTTTACAAGAATCAGAGGTGTCAATTCCTTCACTTACTGACTGAATATCTAAACTGAGGAAAACAAAATGAAACATTTTTTAATTAAGGAAAGACAGCTTTGTAGTTAATTGAAGAGCACATGGATGGCAAAGGTAAGAATTTTAACGTTTAAATTTTCTTTTTTATTAAACTGTGTGACTATTTTTTTTTATTAAACTGTGATTATAAGTGACCTTATACTTTTTAAATCGAACGTTATATAAACTTAGCTGCTGAGCTTTTCTTGCTTATTCGATCATCGTTCAAACAAATAATTAGGAAATCATAATGCGTTGTACTATCCATTGCATTATTTTTCTTTCGGAATTGGTTTTATGTGATAATAACACTGTGTATTTCTTTGATATCTTTCTGACTTTACAAGGATTCTTAATGTATCTTTCATACAATTTTTTTTACCGATTATATTGCAAAAGGGGTTTAACGAAAAATGTCCAAGTTATATACGAACAATTCATTCATAATTATATTTTTTCAGTATATGAGTGTTCTTATTTGCTTATAACGTATATTGTTCACTTAAATTTTATAACTAAATTTTATAAAATAATGACTTTATTTCTTAAATACTATACGGTTTTTAATACCATGTTATTGAAGTAAGTATGTACGTAAATACATACATACGTATGCTTATCTATTGTCATCTAGAGTCCTTTCATTTTTAATTGAAATTTACTGCTGAATATCAGGTACATATAAAGCACTACCAGATAATAAAACTGAATCTATGTCATTATTTGATGGTAAATTCAAATTACATATATGAGAATCTCTATAAATATTCGCATATAACGGTAAATTTACATATCCAGTTACATTATTAAATTTAATGTTTGTATCCTGTTCAAAATTTTGAACATAAGTTATATAAAATTCTGGAGATGATTTATTTAAATGCTGTGAAAATTGAGTATATATATTTAGTTTTCCGGTTGTTGTACTATCTTCACTATCTGATGAAAATGTTGCTCCATCAATCTTAAAACAAAATAAAAAATAGAGAAATTAAGTTTACTTAAAAAAAAAATTTTCATTCATAAAATATAAATTGGACAGTGTTACTCTTATGCTTTTTAGAATAATTAATTTTGATGCTAATAGCTGGTTTTAGTTTAACAAAATAATGATAACATTTAAAAGGTAAGCTTAATTGGGTTTTTTTCTTTTTTAAGAAAAAAAGCCTTTGAAATTAATTAAGGCAATTTACACTTCTAATGATAAATTTTGCAATTAAAAATTAATATTAAAGCATGTTATTTCAAATAGCAACAATAACAAGGTTTAGTTATTGTTAATACATAAGTAACTTTCGGGTTAAAACATTGGGACATTAGTATTTCTCGGTAACTCCATTTGTCAACTTACTTGTACTGGTGCTAATTTTACAACAATCATGCTGTTACCATTTCTATTTAAGTCACTTGTACTAGATTTTAAAATCAAATTACAACAGGATACACCTAATCTTGAAGAAACTGTTAATTTTAATGCAGCTAAAAGTGCTGAAGCATTAAAAATTGTTGATAAATCAATTTCCTCACAAAATTCTATATCAAAATTGATTTTAAAACGTTTCTCTGTTTCTTTAATACGTAAAATAACAGCTCGCAGAAAATCTGTTGTTGATTTAGGTCCCGTTGGCCAAATTTTACGCCATTTTCTCAAAACCTGAAATAAAGTATTTACTTTAAAATAATAATTAAGCTGATGAAATGAGTATTGAATGCAAACTTTATTTTCAGCTAGTATTTTAATATTTTGATCACAAGCAGCTTCATTTGGTTTCCGGATAATAGAATGAACTTGAACTAAAGTAGAATGAATATTCTAAAATATATTTAAATTTTAAAAATTTTCATTTTTCAAATTCATAAAAAGTACTTTATAAAGAGCTCTGGCTATTTTCATTTCTGAATACAAGAAATTTTGCCAAGAAGTCGTTGATGTATTTTCAGTATTACCAATTGATTCAAATGTTTGATCTATAGAAATGTTCTGAAAATTAGAAGAAATTTAAATATTAACTGATACAAATTAAGAGTGTTTGAATATTACTGATGCTAATTTTTTCCATAATCCAAGAATTGGCTTGATTCGTTTCTCATACGTCTCAGTTCTTTCACCCTTTTTCTTAAAATAAGAATCTAAAATTGAATATTCATTATATTGTTGTTGATTAATGTTATATAATAAAATGAATTCTTACTTCTTAAATTGTGTAAAATTTCTTTGCAAAATGATATATTTCTAAAAACGTCCGAGATGGGCGATAAACCAAAGTCTTCTGGATCATCTCGATCCTTAAATCGATCTAACATTTCTTCATAATCTTGTATTCTAATTGAATTCGGTATTTGGAATTTTAATTGTAAAGGTGACCAACGATTTTCCATAATTTTGTCAGTAAAGAACAATTCTAAGTGCTTACATAAAATTTGTAAGTCATTTATGTTATCGATACGCCCACCAAATGCAATTACGTCTGTGAGGCCCCTTAATATATTCCAATCAATTTTTGATAAATTATTAGAATTGTTGCTCGATATCCATTTCAATACATTTAAAGCTGCACTAGTTTCAGCATCACCAATTTCATACCATTTAGACCAACCTTGTGGAATATATTTTAAACGTTCCTGTAAAACAGCATTTAAAATAAAAAATACAACATGTAATTTCATCATTCTTATGTTGTTATTTAGACTTGAATAGTCCCACTTCTGCATTGACCGTTGAACTTTCATTTTCAGACCGTTTGGAGATTCATACAAGACTCGAACATATTTATATAAAATAATTTCAGGAAAATCTTTAATTGAATCAGTCATTATCCACAAACGGAATTTATTGTCAGCATTTTTAGCTACAAGTGCAATTTCTCGATCAATTCTAGTTATAAGATTTGGTTTTAAATGAGCATTTTTTAAACAAATCCAATGTCCGGCTATTGATGCTCTTTTTATTCTGTCAATCATTTCATTTTCTGTTAAACTTCCAATTGAAAATTCTCCATAGCTTCCTTTCCCATATTTTGTTAATGCGAATTCTTTGATTGTATTTGATGGATCATTGCCAGCTTCAGTAATCATTAACACAGGTCTTGAAACAGAACTATCATCAATTAGCGTATCAATAGTTGGTTGTTGTATAGAATCTGGTTTGATTCCAATTAGAGCAATAATTGTTTCGCTCATCGCCAATAACAAAAAATCTGGACGGAATATTTGTGTTGCCAAAAGTTTTTGGAATACGGTTCCATTCAAGAAAGGATGATCGTTATAGTCCGAACGATTTAAAAAACGTTTCCAATCACTGTCATTATCAAACTGAAGCTTATTAATTAGTTCAGGTAGCTGAGTCCTAAAAACTTGAATTTTAGATTTTTGTTCTTTAGTTACCCAAATGGGAAGATTTGTATTATCAGTACTTTCTTCAGAGCTTATGAAATTTGTAACAAATAATTCCCATTCAATTGTCGGGACAGCCTCTGGATAAGCATCTTTACAAATTTGTAAACCAATAGCAATATGAGTGTTTTTTGGATGACTTCTGCATATATACTGGTATGTTGTTTTAATTAAGTACTTATAAATTTTTGCATCTTCAATATCTCCAGATACTTTTAGTGTTTTAAGATAAATTTTCAAAAATGCTGAAACTGATATATCGTAAACTGAGCTTGCGTTTATGTAAAACGTAGCAGTTTTAAGACAAAAATCTCTGTATTGATTATATTCTTCTAGTAACGCTATTTTAACTTCTGATGATTCTCTTAAAGACTGGTCAATATTGGCTCCTTTTTCCTTGATTTCGTTAAGAGCTTTTAATAATTTTTCATTTTTTAAAATATCACCTTGAGCGGAATTCAGTTCAGCAAGTAATTTCTTTTCTAAATTTGCACGTTCTTTTAACAGTTTTCCTTCGTTTTTCAACAAATTAATACGCCTCTCTTCAATTTCTGGTTTTTTAAATGTGATCTTTTTCGATAAAAGTTCATCAGTCAATCCATTTTTGGTAATGGTAAAATGAATTTTTGTAATTAATGTTTCAAGTTCTGGATTAAGATGAATCTTATCTAATTTTGAAACTAAAATTAATCGAAAATCTTCGTGGTAATCGACAAATTTCATGCCGACTTGTAAATTTTTTTTATTAAATTTCGAAAAAATACGACAGTTTATTAATTGCAACAATGGTGGGAGAATTTCTTCAAGATCATGAATAACTAAAATTTTCCCGAATCTTATTGCTAGTTCAATTGTATACGAGATTTTTTCTAAATTCTGAGACACAAATTCAAAAGATTTTTCTTTACTACTTAAATATTCTCGAAGCCATTTTAGAGTTGTTTCCGATGGATCTAAAAGAATAGGAACAGGACATGATCCATATGGCAATTCTAAAATTTTTGACAAAAGAACAGCATTTTCAATTGCTTGAGCATCTTTAGAAAGACCCATACTTTCCCATATAACTTGATCTTGTTCAGTTATTAGATTTCTAGCTAATTCAAAAGATTCAGAACTGTTGCATTCTTTCGCTAGAATTTCTTTCATTCGTTTACTTTCATCTATACTTAAGTGTGAAGTATAATTTATATCATACGAGACCCAGAATGATTTTAAATCCAAAGTTTTTTGTTCTTTTGTATGTTCTTCAAATTGCATATTCCATGTATGGTATTCGGAAGAAAGTTTTTGTACAAGAACTTCAGACGCTTTGAGCGTATTTCGAGCTTCTTCTAATTTTATTTCTAATACAGCAGCTTCTTGGGTGTAAATATTTAACTGTTGGGATAGTTCCTTAACTCGAGCATCAACATCATCAAGACCAGATTTCAAAGACTCCATTTGATTTTCTGCCGCTACAAGACTTTTTTTTAATCCTCTTTGTTCTTGTTCAAGCGGTTTAATACTTTGAATAACTTTTGAGTACTTAACATTTGCAATTACCCAAGCGGCTAATGGAGCAGCTGCGGCTGAAGCTCTTTTAGCATTTCTCATTTCAAATGATTCTGATTTATTCTCAAGAAGTTTTTCAACTGCTTCACAATTTTCTGGTGAAATTCGTGATGGGTCGAGGGATTTGATATCTTCTTTAACGCCTCGTTTAGCTAAAAATGATTTCATACTGTTCCATGAAGTATCTCTTGTTCCCATTAAACGTAATACGCCTTCTAAAATATCTCGAATTGTTTCTGGGGGCGCTCTTAGGGACCGAATTTCTGAAAGTGCCTCTGTTTTTATTTGTCCAACAGCAGCACTTGCTTCACGTAATATTGGTTCAACTTCACTTAATTCTGCGGCAATTTCTTCTTGGCGCTGTTTCAGTTTAATGCTGCTTTCTTGTGTTTTTCTTTTTATTTCTAATAAATCTGTTTTTTGATCATTTGCGTTTCGCATAGTTGTTGATATCATTTCTAGAGCATCATTCGCAAGTTTACGTTTTTCTGCTAATGCTTCTTCCTGAACACTCGCATCAGCTTTTAATTTAGCAACTACTTGATGAGCTGCAGCCAATTTTTCAACGCCTGCCTTTAACCGTTCAAGCTTCTCTTTAATGTCGTGATTAAAATTTTTAAATATATAATAGAATGCTTCAATCAAATGGTAGTATCGAATTGGTGCTAAATTTGAGTGAATTTGAACAACCGCTTTAAAATAATTTATCGGAATTGGAATTTCATGTTTTGAGTTAGTTAAGATCTCTAAGTTACTTTTTGGTAGCATAATATAAGTTTCTGGTGTTGGTTGTTGAATCCACAGTTGTTCGGTGCTGCGATATAACGCAGGGTAGTTAATGAATAATTTTTCAATATTTTCACTATCAGAATTGAGTGAAATAACCACTCGAAGGTTATTTTTGACTCCTGAAATGAACACAAAGAAAAATGTATGTATCAACATAAAAGAATAACATATGTATTTTTTACTTTTTAAGAAATACGATGCCAATGATTCTTGATATCCTTCTAATTGAGCAGAACTTTTCAACGGACTAGCGATTGATTCTAAATCCTCACCAAATAAATCTAAAATTTCACTTCCCTCTAAAATTGCTTCTAGAGGATTCATTATTTCAGGTAAATATGTTATCCAAATATGATCTATCAATAAAATGGTTAGCTGATCTTCTGTAGCGGCTTGTTGCATCGCCTGCGATATGATATAAGTAACTTTTTTATTTAATGAGTGATTTTCAATAATATAAACCCACCAACTTCAAATCGTTATAAAAATCTAACATTGAATAGTTTTTTGTGCCATTTAAGCTAAGAACTTTACTTGATACTATGGTGGATGTCAAGTATAACGCATCTATGCAACGAGATCCTTCTTGACTTATAATAACTAAGTTTATATTTGGTCTCACCAATATTCTTGAGAACAATGAACACAATTTTAGTAATTCCATCGTTATTGCACTCCGGATCTCATAAGTTTCAGTGTCTGGAAGATTTTAGAATCAAGAAAGGAATGATAAGGAAAAATTTAGAAATAATAAAAACTGCACTTAAAGTTATATTTTTAATTAATTGATAAATGAAATTTCAACATACTGCAAATATCTACGGACTTCCTTATATCTTCGCTCCACTCTTCATGTTTTAAACAAAGAATTGATGAGAATTGCGGCTTGGCGACAAAATATAGGTTCTGAAAAAGATGAATATTTTTGGAAGATGAATATGAAAACTCCATCTTTCTTTTTATTTTGTATTTGTTACCTCGTTGTTATTTTTTAAAAACGGTCTCATGTTGGACTGCAAAATCTGATCATATTCGTCTAATTCTTCCACAGATACCAATCTGTTACGAAATTTGGAGTTTATTTCTGTAACAAGGGCCTACAATATGTACATTAATGGTATTTGTTGTCAATATTACAGATTAAATAGGTAAATAGTTACTTGCCTCTATAAAATAATTTTCGCTGTAAAATTTTAAGCACTCTAACATTTTCACTATCATTTTAGGTGTGAAACTATAATGAACGCGTCGATCTTGTGAAAAAGTTTCAATAACTTCTTTGAAAAATCTCATTAAACATTCAACAATTCCCTTGAGATTTGGAGGATTTTTAAAATTTGCTAGCAATGGTTCGATTTGATTAGTTAGAATAACTTGTAAATCTTCTTCAATTGGATATTTAACCGTTAAATAGTTTTGTAAGGCTAGAAATCTGGGCGAAAGCTTGTTTTTTGCCACAGTTAAATCAGATACTGAACCACAAATTTGTAAACCATTTACTAAAATCCATTCTAAGGTTTCAGAATAAAATCCACCACGTTGATATATTTGTAATAACAGCTGTACAACACTATTTGTGCCCCATGAGTCAATATAGCAAAGATCAATATTTTTAAAAAATAATATTAATTTAGATTGCTGAGGTTTGCATTCACGTCCTTTTGCTCCCGTAATCATTACAGTATTTTGCTTTAAAATGTGTAATACATAACTTGGAGTTAATTGTTTACTACAATTTATTATAACCAATTGAAAACCAGACATTTCAGCTACTGCATGTTGAATCAAGAGAGTTTTTCCAGAGCCTGATGATCCAACCATTAGAAATGGTGTGAAGGTAGTTAAAAATCTTCTTATTGCACTTAAATACAATTTAGTTTGACTTGTTTGTATTAGATCAGATTGTGGTGCATTACGGGAATCTGTTTCAAAGAAATCAATCGAATTACGTGATTCGTTAAAAAAAGCCAATTCAACTCTGGAGGAATCTGGTATATATATATCTAACGCTTCATAAATTTTATTTGCTAATTCATTATGAAATTCGCTTTTAATAAAACCTAAAATTGTTTGCACTAATCGAACACAAAAGTCTTCTTTAATATGTGCACCTGATAAATTTTCCAAAATAGATTTTAGAACACAAAATTTCCAACCGGCAAATAATCTGGAGAAATATTTTTAAAATTATTATCAAAATTATTTTCAAAAAATGTAATTTAATCGTACTTTTGTGAATAAGGTTGTAGAAATTGAATAGATTTTTCCAAATATTCTTCGGTATATGATCTAATAATGTCACTGTATTCTTCATTTTCTAAAAATGTTTCGATAATAGCTTTTTCAGGCAAATCATCAGCGCTAAATAATAATTAATTGGTTAAATGAAAAAAAAAATAACAATTAAGAGAATGAGATTAAATCATAGTGATAATGATAAGCACCTTAGATTTACGATTCCCATTCGCGAAATAGTAGCTGGTGATGCATGTGAAAGATCGTGTGTCTCAAAAATAAAATTGACATTATTTCCAAATTGTATCCTCCAACCAGATGGCAATGTTAAAAGTCGATTATCATCTAAAACTGAATTCAGTGCCTCAATCCATTCTGGATCAACATCACCATCACATATTATCCATGAATTAATTGTTTCTGGTTCAGAATTGACTGCTATAGCTGTTGTTGTTAGCACACCATCATTCCATTGTCGAGTATCAGGATCAAGCTTACCTAGCAGCTGAATGCGATTCATTGATTTTGGACTTATAATATAATATCGGATTTGTTTGCCTTGTTTTTTTAGCGCATGCTTTAACAATGTTATTATAGTAGTTTTACCAGAACAGGGTGGGCCAATAACAACAACTCCCATTCTTTTAGTCAATTGTTCATAAAGTTGAATGCATTTTTCTAATTGTTTTCCATTTTTATACAGCTTTAGTTCAGCGAAACAATTTTCAATGACATCTTTAAAAACTGAAATTTGATTATTATCAGTTTGTACTTCAGGAAAAGTTAATCTCAAGAGCATATCAAAACGTTTTGCATCAATTGAATTTAACTTTGACATTGTATTTGTTCTCAAAACTTGGGCAACTGTTTGCAGTTCTACTTCTGGCGAATTTGTAGTAAGTTCACGATAATTTTTACCACATGCTAATAGAACAGTTTTTAATTCACGTAAGCCCCAATCGTAATGTAGCTGTGACGATAAAATTTTCGGACACATATCGAAAAGTTCCACAATTCTATTACCAATCTCATTTGAATTTTGAAAACCCTCAACAAATAATAGTATCTGGGCAATTTCTTTAGGTTCAGGTTTTTGCATAACTATCGGTCTAAAAAGTGCTTTAATATTGCCAGGTAGTTGTTGGCGGCCACCATATCCTTCTCCAGCTGGATTTAAAGTAACGAAAATTCCAGCATGTTGGTTAAGTTTTATCTGAAATTATAATTAATGTTTAACTTGACCAAACTGATTGGATTAACAAACATTTTTATCTGATATTTGAACAAAATCACTTTTATCTTTTAATGCCATTTGAATTGGTTGAATAATCATCGAAATTGCTGACAATGTAGCTTCCTGCAGTCTATTAAATTCGTCAAAACAACCCCAAGCTCCACATAAAGCCAAACCCGTTAAAATTAATTTCATTGCTTCAGTGTCAACATTCTGAAATGTTAAAATTTAAAATAAATTTGATATTAAACTTGTGTCTAAAGCTTACTTCATCGCAATTGAAAACTAAAACAAGTCTGCCCATAGTTGCACCTAAAGCTTTTACGCATTCTGTTTTTCCAGTTCCAGCAGGACCAAATGGATTACCACCTAAACCCATTTGCATTGCCTGGGTTAAAGTTAGATAGCAACGATGTGTTAATTTGGTGTTGACTAATTTATTAGAATTCCCCAAATATTCATACGAGTAATCAAATTCCGAGTAAACCATTTTTATACGAACTTGTCCATTTTTTTCTAAATAAAATTTCAATTGCTGCAACCATTCCCAATCATTCAAATTTGTAACATTTTTATTTTTAAGCTCTTCCACTATATTTATATAGTGAACTAAATCCAATAAAATATCTTTGGCTTTTAAGTGAACCAGTCGAATTTTAGTTGTATTTTTTATTTGAACTAGTTTTGTAACTTCCTCTTTAAGACTTTTAAGTGAATTGTTTAATGACATCGACATGATAGCTTTTTCAGTTTGCTTAGTAAATAATATTGCTCTTGTTGTACTTAAAACTTGTACCGGGTATTTATTCATAAATTCTTCCGTAAATGGACTTGGTGATTTATCGCAGCAAATTTGAATTTGTTCCTTTAATGTTGTTTGAATTGAGTTAATCAGTTGATTTAACCAACTCTAAAATTAAATATATTAAATTAAATGTTAGATTTTGTAATTTCTAAATTATTTTAATTTGGGCGAAATATTATGTAGAATTCATTTGATTTACCTCAATTGCTGTAGTCATACTTATTTTTTCCTTAAGTTGTATATTGTCACCCTCAGAACTTTTTATACCATCAATAACATTCGGAGCACCATCTTTCTTCGTAATGCACAACGAATGGATTCCTGGGAATAATTTTTTAATATGCTTTTGTATTATTTCCTCTTTTGATGCTTGCCCTAGTAACTCCAACAGGTCATCGTCGCCCAAGAAATAAAATCTTGGAAAAGAGTTTCGCTTTTCCTTTAAAGACAAATGATACATTTACTATATTTTTATTGAAATTTCTTTACCATTATGTACGACATTAAAGTGCTCTGACATCTGGACAGTTGATTTTCTAATGATTTAATTACGGCTGTCACGTTACTTATTTTTAGTAATGACGTTACTCGCGGGTCTAATTGAATTTCTTTCATTACATAACGAAAATCTTTATCAAGACGTTTAAATATTGCTTCTTCAGATTTCAATGTGCCAGTTGCAAATACTGGTTCCAAATATATCCATCTGTTGTAGTTTGAAAGTTGTAAAATGAAATGAATTTTTGAATAAAATAAGTCTACAACTTACTTTCTTTGTGATTGCGATAAACTAGTTAGTAACGATTCCAAGGTATTTAAACGACCTTCCCATATTTCAGCTTGATCCGAAAATGAATCAAATGCTGCGGAATTTTTAGCTGATTGCAAAAGAGATTGATTATCACCGATTTTATTTAAAATATCTTGATAATCTTTTATTAAAGAAATGTCGTTCCGTGATGAGTCTGAGTGTAATATAAGCTTAAAGTTTGCTGTAACAGCCCATTGGTCAAGTTCATTAAGAGCTTGTCGAACGACTTGTTCAGAAGATGCTTTACGAATCAAATTCTAAAATGGGATTTTGGTTAATTATGAGTTGAGGTATTTGAAATAAAACTAAAAAAACAAACTTGTATTTCTGTTGAATTTTGCTCCAACAAAATCGAACTATCCAAGACGTCTTTTAAGGTTATTGTATGCATTGGTTTTATGTCTTTATTCAGCAGTTGAAAAATTCTAGCCCAATGCCTTTCGGTTAAAGAATCTGATTGTAAGTACTGTAAAATTGGTAAAATTTCTTGATAATGTTGAACTTTGCGGCGTATTCTTGAAGATGGTAAGTCTAACGATGAATTTATTGATGATTCCCATTTTGATAAAAATTCTGTAAATATATATGGTCGCCGACGATATATGGTCCATTCTTCTTTTATAATATTTTCTAGCTCTGTCGAGAATTCATCATAAATTTGCCATTGTTTGGCTTGATTGTTAATAGTTTCTTCATTTTGTTGAAAATTTTTTGCAATCTCATCTGGAATATCAACATTAAATTTTTTACACTCATCTTCAAGTTTTTCAAATTGCTCCTTAATTAATTTCCAATTTTCTTGACGATCTTTAAATAAATCCAAATTTATTTCGTCCATATTTTCTAGTTCAGTTACTGAGGATTCCCATCTGAGCATAAATTTTTCAACCTCATTAGTCATATTAAAAATTTTTGTTTTGATATGATCTTTCATAATATCAACTTGGCGTTGTAAAACAACTGAATGATTTTCAATTAATGGTTGCAATTTCTCCCACTGGTTCAAAATATTTGATAAGGCTGAGACTCGTTCTTTACACCAGCCAGCTAAACAGGTGTCTTTACCTTTTACTCTCTCTAAAACCGTAGATATCTAAAAAAATTATGTCAGTTTAGTTAAATTGTTTTTAAGTTGAAAAAATATAAGAATGTGCTATGCATACTTTTGGATATTCAGCTACAATTTTTTCGTATCTTGCACCAGATTCAGCAATTAAGGCTCCATGCATAGGAACATTTTGTAAAAATTTTAAAGATGATTGCAAGAACTCTTGAATTTCTGATATATCATTTAAAATTGATATTCTTAGACTATTTGCCAATGACTCCCAGTATCGTCGATTTATGAATTCAATATCTGACTGTAATGGTACTACATTTACCACAAAGCAATCGATTACTTCTTCAGTACTAAAGTTTTATGAAAAAATTTTTATGAAAATAGATTTTGATTTTAAATGAAGGTTAGTACCTTTGTAACTTTGCAATTTGTTGACTAAAATATTTACAAGCTTTAAAATTAGTATCCCAATCTTCCCACTTGTTTAAGTGAACAGTACATAATTGATCAATGTCCACACACCCTAATGATACTAATGGTAACCACAAGGTTTTTAGTTCATTTAGTTTCTCAAAAAGTTCATTTGCTTTCTGGTATAATGGACCTAAATAATGACGATTTCTTTCAACCATCACTTTAAAAAGATCACTACTGTTTTCAGATAGTCCTCTAAAACCAAGGGGTCGTTCAATAAATCGTCTTAATTCCGTATAATACTTTGCGCGGATTTCTTCTTCACATGGCCGAAATTGAAGTTGACGTTGTCTAAAATTGAAGGGGGTGAATTTTTTTTTCAAGACAAATTTTCAGTGTTGTAATTATGAAACGTGAATATTGCACCTTTATTTGTGTCTTTAGTCTTACCTAAATATTATATCAATTTTGATATCGGGTAATTTATTATTCATATCGATCAATCCCATTATGTATTGGTATTCTAAAACTTTATATAATTGATGATCCCAATGTAAATTGAATGCTTCTAAATTTGTGTATCCTTGTCGTTCCAAATTTGCAACTAATTCTCTTAAATGCTTCATTTCTTCTTTCCAAGTTTGAATTTCATTTAATAAATCAGTATTCATTAGTTTTATGACAATACGTTTGGCTTGTTCATGATATCCAACTAATAAAGTATTATCAGCAGATAATTTTGTAACTGCACTCTGTAAAGTTGAAACGTATCGTTCAACGGATTCTTCGTCATTCCATGCAACTGATTCACTTTTAACTAAACTTGAAAATTCTACAGCATTTTGAAGCATTATTGGCCGTTGACATGGTATCATACGGTCACCAATTGTGTTGTGAAATGTTGCAATTTGTTGAAGACGTCTAGCGTAACTAATAAATTTTGATGCATGATCGGCAACAACACGTAACTCAATTGGAATTGTATAACCCAAATTTTGAAATTCACGTACATCAGCACAAAGTGTAATCAATTCTGGATTAAAAGTAACTTCCATTAGCTGACGACCTTCACTTTCAAATTTAACAACCGGTTGATCTTCATGAAGTCTAAAAGAGGGCAATATTTTTTTTTTGAGGAATTTTTAACATAAAAGTTTTTGTTGTACAGTACCGTAGCTTTCCATTTTTAATACCCGATGAACACTGTTCAGACCAAATTTCAAAATTGGTTCTTAAAAGCGAATCGACTTCTTCTTTAAGTTCTTGTACCAACTGATTAGCTCTATCAAAACCATCTCTGCCGCTTATCAAATGACTTACGATATCAATTTCGCCTATCTGTAAAAGAAATTTAAGAAAACCATTTTAAATACATAATTAAACATTTAGAAAAGTAAAAATACAAGAGTAATTTCAAATTTCAATAAAAAAAGGATGAATAAAAATTTTAAGCTATTTTCGCTGACAATTAACTTAATACTTACTTGATATTGAATAATTTTCAACCAGCGGCATTCATTGCATAAGGTCGACAAAGGGCTCGAATTAGGCTCTACATTTATATCATTCATAGTCTTTCGTAAGTCATGAATAAATGCTGTTAAACTTTGCAAAAATTGTTCCCTTTCAGGTATTAAAAGTTCCATTACTGTCGGCCGACGTATTAAAGTATCGTACTTTTGAAAAATATACATCATTTGTTTTGGATTATTAAGATGAATTTGCAATTCACCTTTAATTGCCATTGCTATTCTTTCATCAACTGGTTGCAGCATTTGCTCAAAATAATTTAATGCTTTATTCCATTTCATTTGACCAATTGATGAAATATCGAAAATATGCACAGCTAAATAAAAAAAAATAAATTAAAAAAAAATTTCATAAACTTGAACTTTATAATGCAAAATTTACATTTAAAAGCTGAATTATGCGATAATAGATCGCGTATCTCTTGAATGTTGATTAAGGTTACAATTTGTTTATATAAGTTTTTAATATTACGAATTTCTGTTAAACGTTCTTTAAATTGTTTTCCTCGTTTTGGTATATGTGGATCACCTAGCCATTGATGTTGAATATAATTTGGCCAAAATAATCTAGTCAATGTATCACATAATTGTAACCAAGAATCTGTTATATCCATAGCTTGACTCATTAAATTATTGACATGATAAGAACTTAAACTCCATATATTTTCCAATAGAAGAATTTCAGTGCAAATTTCAATTATAAAATTGCCTGTGAAATATAGGTTCTTATGTAAATAGACTCTGAATTGATTAATACTTAAGAAAGATTTTAAAAATTATCTGAATAGTGGCTTCTGAATTAGTGAATAGTGAAAAGACTTGACTAACATATTACATCCATTAGATCTCCCATACGATTTTGTGGATAATGATATTTTAATTTCCAAATTTCATCCAAACTACCATGAGCAATATCCAAAAATTCTTCAATGCTGCTTATATTATTTTGATCAATTTTGCTGCAAAAGTACAAAGAAATTGTATTTATTTGCTATGAACAATTTGGAATATTGAATTCGATAAATACGTGGACGTACTTTATTTCAATAAGTACTTACTTTAATTGTTCATTTAATTTTTCTAACATTTCTGCAAATGTTTGTGCTTGTTCTCTATCGTATTTTGTTGAGGCATTTATTATTTTTTGATTCCAATAATTCATTTCATCTTGTACACTTGTTATTCCAGATTCCGGGAGTCCCAATGTTGAATTCAAAGAAGTTTGCAAATTTTGCAGTAAACCATATAGCTCAGGTCCATATTCATTACGATTCTAAAAAATTATGAAAATAAAATCATAAGAATCTTTAGTACTCAATATTTACTTTATTTTTTCCGGTCTAATAATAATAACAATTGCCTAAAGAGGCTATAATAGGCTGATCGAAAATTCAATAATGCGATTTGCTTCGATTTTTCACTTTTTTTTGTAAAGGGGTTAAGAGGCAAAATAGACTGAGGCCAATTTGTTGTATAATGTTTAAAAATAATGTAGTATACCTAAAGTTGACATTATCAAGTGAAATAAATTACACAAAACTTAAAATTCAAACCACATTAACGGGGCGGAACGGGTTTTTCGTCCCCATCAGCACTGTGAAATCGCATATATATATAGACATTATCTATCGAGCGTCGACCGCAGTTAGAAAGCTCTGTCTACATGCGGGGCTTCAAGAAAAATATGTTCAAAATATACCGTAGAAAATCGGGTAGGGTCCTGGCGATATCTTAGGTGGCATTACAGGCCTGACGGTAGCTTACACAGAACATTAGCCGTTAGGGTAGTATGCGGACAAATCCCAGCTTTCTTTAATCTTTCGAATACGAAATCGCAGTTGTCGGAAGAACTGTTGGCTCATTGGAGTCAAATTAGTCACGTGAGGCGGAAGGAGATATCGAAAATTGGCATCGGGGATTTAAATGGATCTCTAAAAAAAGACGAGTGGCTTAGATAAGCCTGGCGGTCATGGGATGGTGATAACAAAACGGCACATTTTTGGTAATTGAGTTGCGGTAGACCTGGTTCACAATGGTCACGTCAACTAACCAATCAAAAACTATATAAAAGTATAAAATAATAATATGAAAAAAGTGAATTTAATTATAAAATATGGTTGCTTACCTTTGCTCCAACATGTGGTGAAAATATTCTTGAAACTGAATTATACATTGACTTAACCATACCACCTTCTAAAGTTAACATTCCTAATTGTACATCACATCCATTATCCGATTGATTTATTGAAGTTTGTAAATGTGGAATTTTATAAAAAACTAAACAAACTTGTCCAGTTGGTATTTTATGGTGGAATATTATGCGACCATTTTCCATAGTTGCACCAATTGTTGTAATTTCATCATTTTTAAAAAATGCTTCAACAAATGATGTATCTTCTTTTGCCACAACACCATTAAAGTAAGATGCTATAATAATTGCAAATAAATTATTACATTAAAGAATAAGAATCCTTAAAATTGAAAATTCTTGCAAAATTAATTTTTTAATTACCTGATGTTGTCAAAATAAATTTTGTTTTGTCGTTCATATTTTGGTTTGTTTTTAACTTAAAAATTATTTCTTTGGTTTAAAAGATTTTTTTTTTAATTAAAACAATGTAAAATGTTTTTTTTTCATATTTTCGTTCAGTTTTTAAAATTAAATTATTCACTTTTGACTAATAGAATGTCAAAAACGGCTTTAACTAAAATATCGATTAAATATGGCGTATTTTCATTCTTATTTGTTTGAGACTAACAATCACTTAGGTAACAGTTGACTGGCAGGTGATTTTTTAAAAATAAAATTGCGGTAAAATCGTTTACTGTTATACATTTTTTAACTGTTCATTATGTTTTTATTTATGTTTTGAATGGTATAGAATCCTACATTCTTGTTGTTAGTTTGATAGAAATGTGAATGGAGCAATAATATCAAGGATTAAATATCCTTTTACAATCAGTTTTCATTCATAACAATAATAAAAATTACCTGTTGAAATTGTGTTAACAATTTTTTAAAGTGCAATGCCCTTCAAAATTCTTATGAATGGAAGGCACGTTGCCATATTTATTATATTTCTTTTTGTTACTAAATTATGTTTTAGGTAGTAAATAAACCGGTTGTTATTAAAAGAAAATATTCTGATTGTAAACAAAGTTTTCTTTACTAATTCAAATACAATGGGGAAACGAATGGAGAAGTTGGTTTTCGAATTAATTTTGGTAACAATGTTTTATAAATAATTTGAGTGCGTATTTGTATGTATGTATGTAAAGTAGATTATTTTTGTAATTCAACAATTTATTCAATATCTTGTGATTTAGATGAATGAAACTTATACTCTTGTTTCGTGCGGTAACTGGAATATTACACAATAATTAATTTTTGTGATTGAATGAAATTTAAATAAATATTGAATATTATTTTTTACCTTTTCTATCATTGGGACATCCAAGACATCAACTAATCTTCGGAATTTGAGTCTATTTTGTGCAGATTATATTATTTCGGATCATGTTTTTGCATTCTCTTTATTTTTTCTTCTGATTTGCGCAGTGTTTGCATTTTTTTGCTTTACCTTGAGGGTTAATTTGACAGCCTTTCACAGAATATTTTACTGGCTTTGAGTGTATAGCCTTCTCAGGCTCTATTTTCTTTCTTCAATTTAATAGTTAATTGATTCTTGCTGTGTTATATTTCAATTATTTTATGCTGCTTATTTTTTAGACAGGAATATTCCACGTCGACTCGTAGATATGTTTTATATTTTGTTGACGAAAATTTTACCGTACCTATTTGGCACGTCTGATTTTTGATGTCATGTCCCACCTGATGTTTGACAATGAAGTGATTTAGAAATGCGCACTCAATTCGGTTATCCAATATTTTTATTTGTATTTCTTGCTAATCGTGGTGAAACTGCTTGCATATCACGCCCAGCTTTTTTGGTGATTTATATCAAAATGTTCGTATAACTAGAAAAAATAATTTAAAAAAAATCTTATAATTGTCAGAACCATTATTTTTATTTCAAATTATTCTAATTTTGTTGTCAGTCTCCTCATTTTTAACAATTTTTCTTTTGATATTGCTTCTTAGGGATTTTTCTGTTCTATAAGTTTGTTTTTGTAATCATTCTTCTTCTTTGTCATTAATTAGAAGAATTAAAAAGTTTTATGCTAAATATCATAAATATTAAAGTAAAGTGGACCATATAAACAAAGCAAATGGACAACTAGAAATACGAAAAACTCTTCCAGATAAAGTTGGAATTTGAATTAAGTAGGAAAAGGATAAATAAAATTTTCTTTTTCTTGTTTTTGGAATGAATTAGTATGAGAAAAAAAATAAATTTTAATTGTTTGTTTTAGAATGAGTTGTAATGGATTGCTTTGTTCTTCTTATTGTATGTTATAAATAATTTTTATTAATGATTTACATAAAGAATAAAAATTGGAAGAGCTATAAATAAGTTAGGAATGTTAATAAATTTTGGGATGGTGTAAATAAGCGTTGATATAAAAAAAAAGTTCTTTTTTTGGATAAGGCTTCAAGTTTCGTGCTAATTTTAAATATATAAGAAATATTATGAGCCCTTTAAGAAAAAATTTACTGGTTTAGAATTTTGTGAAGTTCATTTAGGATTTTTTAATTGCAATAAGTTTTATGAGATTTTTATAATTATTTCGATTATTAAATGCGAAGCAAAGAAAATATAATTTGCAGAGTTCTTATTTTCGAATTCTTATTAAACGTTGATATGAGAAGAGCATAGAATTAGAATTTAGAAAATAGCATTTTATTGAGCTTAGTCCAATTAGTTTTTTGAGTTATCAGTAAGATAAGATGAGATGAGAGACGGACAACCATTGCTAAATGGACTTATGTCTTCATCTATAACCATTTTCTTGAGTGTTATAAAAATAGAGTGCAAAATTTGCACACGCAGTCTTGTGCACTTTAAAATAAATTAGAAGTTTAACGAAATATCGAATATAAGAGCTTAATCCAATATAAGAACTACGAAATTATGACAACTGCATTTGAATACTCAACTTTTACAAATCGTTATCATGCACCTATCCCAATATTGCTGTTATTTCCATCTCAAAATTTACTGACCATATCCATGATGCTTCTGAAATTGCTTCCATTATCATGGTGCTTTTAAAATTTTTGATTTTTTTATAGATATCATGTGGCTCCTGTCCTGTAAGTCAATTTTTCTGTAACAAAAACTAATTTTCCATCACAATTTTTTATTATCATTCAAAAGTTCCTTTATTTGAAAGCATGCAAGAAAAGCTAATTTGAATTTAAAAAAAAATACTAAAAAAAAATCTCTTAAAAGAAAAATTTTATTTTAAATGGAATTGGATTCAGACACTATAAGAGTTTAGATAAGAGATATGATCACCATATTATTATATTTGTACATTTATATTGGTGACATAAAAGAAATTTTTTAAAAACCAATTTTCATAAGACGGAAAAAAAGTCTACATAATAAAAAATGAATATGAGAGAATAGAAGTTTAACAAACGATATCCTATAATCGTTTTGGCATACATACATATATATGTAGATGGTACATGTGCGGTGTTGAAAATATGTCAGATTGTCACTAACAAGACAGCCAAAACACCATTAGCATAAATAACTGAATAAAGAAAATGAATAGAAAATTAGAAAAAAAAATCTGATGTGAGCAGCACATAACCGGCTGGGTTGTTAAATTGCTGCATAAGATTATGAAAATTTTCTTTTAAGATTTTAAATTCTATGAAAGATTGACAATAGGATTTAGTTAATGTACCTTGGCTCTTAGTAGTTTTCCGTGATCTAATTCCTTTCCAAAGTTAATTCCATTAAGAATCAGAAGTCAAACATTAAATTTTAAGAAATTCCGTCAATTAGTTCCTGAAATATGATCAAATGTGTAAAACTGGCCTCCTAATGAAAATTCTGTTTCCAAGCCATGATTTTCACGAAAAATTTGCTGGGTCCATGGAAAAAGTTCTAATCAAATCCGCCCATGGGAAACTTCTAATTTCAGAAACTTTATCTTTCCTGAAAGTTAATCAAATCGTCCCTTTCTCGAAGACTGGCAGATAGACAGACAGGCAAACGAACATCTACCAGACAAACAGACGGACATCTCCCTAATAATAGTTTATTTGTGCTTCTATGGTGAAACGATTTTTCGCCGAAAATTCGGCATATGAAATTTGACGCCATCAGATAACCACACATTTTGTATACAAAACGATTGGTAAAAAAAAAATAAAAATATTTCATTTTTTTTCTTTTGAAAAAGAGCGGCGAATCAAAATAAGATTTTTATTTTTTTGGTGAATGCTCTTCTGTTATGGTTCCACGTTTAAAAATTCTTACTGTGTATTTGGCAAAATATTTCTATTTTTATTCTATTTTACTTCCATAGATAATTTTATTTATTTTTTTTTTATTTTTCCATAATAATATCATATGTCAGTTATTTATATGAAAATTATACCGGTATACCCTCTGATTTTGTTTTATTTTTTTTGTATAATACTGTAAAGAAGATCGAGTAAAAATTTATTACAACAAAAGCAAAAAAATTAAATGATATTCAAACTTATATTATTTGAATTTGACGGTCTTTTCGACTAATAATAAAAAAATAAATTGGTAATAAATATCATTAGTATAGAAATTTGTAACTAGATGTCCAGCACATGTTAATTCTTAATATTGAATAAATATTGAATATTGACAATAGATGTCATTAAGGTAATGACAAATTGATATCACAGTTCTTATATCTTTGTTTAATTGCATTGTCTCTTTAATTTAGATATATAAATGCTAAAATATTCATCAAGTACTGCGAATTTATACGTTTAATTTCTCGTTTCTAATCGAATAGAATAAGAATTTTTCGAATCATAAAATTTGAACAGGTAAATATTTTTATGACAATATAATTATTAAAAATGCCGACTATTATCACAAAAAATGTACAAAAACTTGAACCGGATTGAGGCTAAAATGTGAAAAATAAAAATTAACACAGTTTGTGTATATGTATGTGTAATTTAGATAAAGAACATTATACGATTACAAAAAAGAATTTAAAGAATTCTTTGCTCCTGCTCGAAACTTTATAAGAAAAAAAAAAATTATTTTCGCCATCGAAAACTCCCCATCTTCAATATGGTTAAATACTAACATTTTATTGTCAATTCACTTAGCAATTCAAATAAATAATAAATTGTCACTATTCTTCTCCTATTATTATTCTCTTTTTTTTTTCTGTGTGTTGTATCTATGTATTATGTGTCACACCAAATTTAATGGAGTGAAAATATAATTTAAGAAATGTATTTTTCAAATAAAATGAATAAAAATTCGATATATACTATCTATATTAAGATATTT